GGTACTCTTAATATCAGACCTACTCATTTCGTCCAAGGAGTTGGGCAGCATTAATGTATCACTAGTAGCGAGTACATTCATTCCATCTCTGTATATATACTTTGGTCAAACGTATGAATATGAATCAATAATATGATTCTTTTTTAATATCAAATTCAATTTTACCATAAAGAAAAATAATAAAGGTAATCGAATTTACTTTACAGGTTACTAATGAGTATTGTACATGGGATTGCCTTTCACAAGTAAATGGGGAATCAGATAGTAAAACTTCTGTTTTGATGCTCTAAAATGCAATTTTCATCTGCAACGGAGAAATTATACTTGTAGTTATTTTGATATTCAACTTCCGTAGATGCAAACATGTATCCTATGAAAAGATGTATCAAAAAAGTAATTATTCAAATAACCTATTATGAATTGACATGTGTCAATTTTAAATATATCGTCTGTATATTTAAAAGTTAATAATCTATTTAGTGATTGTGGTGAAGTAAATGAGTATCAAAATAATAAAACCAAAATCAAACTAATATTTGATGATCCATTGTAATGTTTTGTCGTTAGAAATTAGAATAATTCCAACGAGGTATCAAATCCTTTAACCTCCCATTGACTCCCCAAATTTAAAAACTATATAAAAAATGGGGTTATATTTTGATAATTGGGTTAAATACACTTTACACCCCTAGAGTATACGCTATGTGACACTTACCCCTCAGAGTATCATTTGTAACACTTACCCCTCAAGCACTATTTAATTTGTAATATAAATTTTAATACCTTTAAATTTTTTCTTTTACTAAAAGGAACCTCTTGGGATATTCTCTACAAGTGGAGACACATGTACATTTCTTGGATATTCCTTACACAATAGAGCATATCGAATGTACAATGAAAATACAATGAGTGTCATGGATCTATAAATATACATTTTAATGATGACGGTCTGATTACATGCACAAATGATGATGATGCCTTTTAACAAATGATAAAATCAAGGAAGAGTCAACTCCGTCACCCATATTGTCAAAACAAAAAGGCGTTGAGTCAGACACTGAATATGTTTTAGAAGAAAATAAGCCCTCAAGCAGAATTGTGAAGAATCATCACACTGAACACGTGATTGGACAGATTGATGAATGTATGAAAACTCGTAATAAGTCTAAAGTAAACTATCAAGAAAATGCCATGAATGTTTGTCATAGAAATGAGAATCTCGGTGCAGCAGATAAATAGATAGGGAAAAATAGTCAGTAATTTTTTCAAGTTGTCTAACTTTAGGGATTAAAACAAGAAAGGTATTATTCAACAAAGGGGGAAGATTGTGGTTATTTAAGAAATCAAGAACACAAGAAATAACGTCGGATCCGATAATGTGCCAGTATTTCGTATAAAAGAGAACTAGCAGACCATCGGGCCCTGGAGATTTAAGGGGAGCCATCTGAGAGATGGCTCGAGTTACCTCCTCCTCGGTGAAAGGTCTAGAAAGTTGCTGATAAGCTTCGTGCGAAACTCTCCTCTCAATATGACCCAGCGCTTCATTTATTTCCTCGTCCAGTGGCTTGGTTGATGTAAGAATGTGACAAAAGTAGGGCGAGATAACGTCCTCAATTCCACTGCCTGTTGCCACCCGATCTCCGATCCGGAGTTGTCTCTAATCCGGTTAACTCTGTTTCACTAATCCAGTTAACTCAGTTGCTCGTATTCCGCACCGTAGCCTGAGCGTGGAAAAACTTTGTATTACGATCTCCCTCTCGAATCCACTGAATCTTGCCACGCTGACGCCAATAAAGATCTTTTTCTTCATACACTCCCTCCAATTCCTTTTTGAGGTTCGGTAATTGTAATTCTGATTCGCTGCTCTCCGTTAGTAGTCCACATCTGAGCGCGTGCATCTCTTTCTGAATTTTCTCAATACGAAGTAGGGGCGGAATAAACGTCGACTTACTCCACAATTGTAAGGCGACCTGGCAACCCTCGTTTTTCAGCCGCAAGTCCTCAACCGAGTCACAGTTTGAAATGCTCTCCCACTGTTGACGGATAACCTCTTCGCAGTCATCCCTCCTTATCCACATAGCCTCGAAACGAAAAGGTCGTCTCGTTCGTCGATTAAAGGGATGGGATGAACAACATCCTTCAAAAGGTATCGGCACATGATCCGATCCTGGGAGAGCTCAAGATGATGAACACGTGACTGCGGGAAAAGATGAAACCAAGTTATATTGAAGTAATAAAATTAGCTTGCCTTCTACGGTTGAAAAATGAAGAGACAAAAAAAAAAGCAAATTAATAAATTATTATATGACTTATAAAAAATATTTGAGTTTTAAAATATTTGAAAGTTGAAATGTACATATATATATATATATATATATATATATATATATATATATATATATATATATATACTTTTTTGGATGAAACACTATTTTATTATTTTTATTTTTTATAAAGTAATTATTTACGGGTCAACTTTGGGACAAAAAATAAAATTTTGAGATTGATCTTAAATATTATGAAATGGTTTATTAAATTATTTAAATTTAATCTTTGAACTAGTTAAGTAATTTTGCATCATTCCATGTAGTGTTCAAAGCAATAACATAACCAATTATTCTCCGGACCATCCTGAAACTTCACATGCACTTCACCAATTTAAGTTTTTCATTCTAGCTCTGTTCTGCAATATATATATATATATATATATATATATATATATATATATATATATATATATATATATATATATATATATATATATATATATATATATATATATATATATATATATATATATATACAAGGGCACTTAATTAAAAGAGGGACATCCAACTTTTTTGTCTTTCAAATAAATCCATCTCATTCAAACGTATTTGCAAATAAGGAAAATCCTTTTATATATACCGAAATTACCCCCAATTCATTGAAACCCAATTCGACTCCAATTTCATGATTTACACGCCAATTTAGCCCAATTTCATCAATTAACCAATTTTAACCCTAATTTCAATTTTGACCGTAATTTTAACCCTAATTCTTATCAATTCCACCCATTATGCTCTAACTTCCTTAATATCACACATTGACCACCCCGGATTTAAACAAATATATCACATTAACCCCCCAAATTTTTTTTTTTCAGAATTTTTTTTTTTCTGAAATGTCTTTTTTCCGGCCAGATTCCGGCGTTGACCTTTTTTTTTTTATAATTTTGTTTTTTCTTAATTTTTTTTAATTAATATTACTGTCTTGTCTGCTAAATTACTGTCTCCGGCAGTTATTTAACTGCCGGAGACAGTAATTTAGCTGTTAATTGACTTTTTTTTTTTCTTCAAAAATATTTTAATTAATAGTACTGTATTCGTTGCTAAATTACTGTCTCCAGCAGTTATTTAACTGTTGGAGACAGTGATTTAACTGTTAATTGACTTTTTTATTCTTAAAAAAAATATTTTTAATTAATATTAATGTATTTGTTTGCTAAATTACTGTCTCCAGCAGTTATTTAACTGTCGGAGACACTAATTTAATTGTTAATTGGTTTTTTTCATTTTTTTTTCTTAAAAAAATATTTTAATTAATAGTACTGCCTTAGATGCTAAATTACTGTCTTCAACAGTAATTTAACTGTCTTAGACAATAATATTAATAATATTACTGTTCGGAAAAATAATATTCATAATATTACTGTTCGGAAAAAATAATATTCATAATATTACTTTCCCAAACAGTAATATTACTGTCTGAGACAGTAATTTAGTAGTTAAAACAGTAATATTACTTAAAATATTTTTTTCTTCTAAGAAAAAAAAAAAAAAAGGTCAACGCCGGAGACCGGCGGTTAACGGTGGTTGACCGACCGGAAAAAATTTCAGGAAAAAAAAAGTTTTCAAAAAAAAAAAAAGAGTCAACGCCGGAGACCGGCGGTCTCCGGCGGTCAATGCCGAAATCTGGCCAGAAAAAAAAAAAATTTTCTGAAAAAAAAAAAGTTTTGAGGGTTAATGTGATATATTTGTTTAAATCCGGGGTCAATGTGTAATATTAAGGAAGTTAGATCATAATGGGTGGAATTGATAAGAATTATATTATTGAGGGTATTTTAGACTAATATGGGGATGAACTTAATTGAGAGACTGTTTTTTTTGTGAACCAAAATGTATTTAAGTCCTATGTGATATACTTTTTGCCATTTGCATATATATATATATATATATATATATATATATATATATATATATATATATAAAAGATATATATAAAAGATGTAATAGAAAACTAAAATAGAAGATCGAATAAGAAATTTGAACACAATTCAAGTGTCGCTACAAAGTTAATGAAAACTAGTTAAACTAAAAACCCTCTAGATTTTTATTACGAAAATCCCATGTCCGTCGATCGAAGATTATCCATGGAAAATTTCGATCCAAAGATTTCAACACTATGGAAAATAATTCAATCTTTAAATACAACTGCTATGGGACTTCTAACAGAGTAATCGGCAGTATACCACCTAATAAATCCTTGAGTAGTACTATTTATCGCCCCTTTGGTTGTTCTCGTGAACGTCACACTATAGCTTGATTTATCGCCCAACTTCGGAAACACGAGTTTCTTAGGTTCCACTTTCACATTAACACCATCGGGCGAAACAATCTTTACATCATACGATGAATTAGCCTTGCCAACATTCGTCAACGTTCTCGTATAAGTTTGAGGAGTTGATCCAAGTACTATCGAAAATGATGGATAATTCAATTGGGCCTCGGGAATGCTCTTCTCTTTCGAGCAATCCACCTTGCGTCCAACAAGGATGCTGACTTCTTGGTTAGGGTAATTCAAGCCACACAAATATTGAAGATAATCATCAGGCAGTATATCGTAAACCAATCCCGGATCATTTGCCCGTGAAGGATTAACATGGCCCGAACCAATAGCAAATACATTGGCGGGCTGCAATGATTCATCCTCGATCGGATTGCCTTTGAGGTTCTCTTGATATGCCGTGGTCATAATAGCAGACTTTATTGCTGCTGGCGACCAATCAGGATGCGCGCTTCTAAGCAGTGCTGCAACCCCACTGAGATGCGGGCATGACATTGATGTACCCGAGATTATGTTGAATGTTGACTTTGTGTCGGTTTTATTTTCGACACAAAAGGGCCAAGCGGCAAGAATGTTAACTCCAGGACCAATAATATCGGGCTTCAGAATTCCAGGGCTCGCTTTATTAGGACCCCTGGAGGAAAATGCAGCAACTACCGGAGCTCGACCGCCACCGATAACAGTTCCTTTAAACGACATTGTGGCTGTGGGATTCGAAGTCAAGTTTAAGTATGCGATTATTTTCAATCCATCGGCGTAACCGATTTGCAACGCCGGGAGAACGTGTGGATCATCGAAAGTGGTGTCTCCTTGATCATATGTGTTAATTAGAATCATAGCCGCTCCACCAGCATCTTTAACCACTTGTCCGCTGTCCGATTTTCCCTTTTGATTTTCGCGCACAACCATCTTTCCTCTAATGGAGGTATCTCCGGGATAAAATGGCCAGGGGTAAACGAGCTCTAACTTTCCGGTCGAGGGGAAACCCTTGCCGGTTTCGCCCTCGATTTCTTCGCCGTTCCCGAGCACTACGGTGGCCGTTATTTTCCGGTCAATGGTGCTGGCTCCGACGGTCATAATCCATGGGGCCCCGTTTGCCAAACCGCGCTTGCCGCCATTTCCGGCGGAGCAGCTGACGATAATACCCCTCTGCATGGCCCTGTAAGCGCCGATCGCGAGAACACCGTCGGAGAAATAGCGGTAGAATCGATCTCCCAATGACATCGAGAGTATATCGACGCCGTCGTCAATGGCGGCATCAATGGCGGCGGCGATGGAGCTCTCCCCGCAGCCGTAGGCGTTGCACGCTTGATACACTGCCACATGAGCGAGCGGTGCGACTCCGGCTGCAGTGCCGTTAGCGTTGCCGAAGAATCCGGCGCCACCGACAAAGTTTCCGGCGGCGGTGCTGGCGGTGTGCATGCCGTGGCCGTCGGTCAGTGGCGAAAGTTCATCGATGAGGAATCTAGCTCCGATGAGCTTCTTGTTGCATGCCCCCTTTCCGGCGCGGAACTTGCATTCGCCCTTCCACTTCGCAGGCGGCGGCGGCATCCCTGCGTCGGAGAACGAGGGGTGGCTCGGCTCAACTCCGATGTCCACCAAACCGATGATAACTCCCTTGCCATAGTTCGAGTTTTTCCATAGGCCCGTGTTTTGGTTCAACCCCAAGAAATTGGGAGAATGTGTGGTGTGTAGAGGCAACATCTTTTCGGGCCGGGCTGAGACGAAACCCTTCATATGCCGCATTGCTTCCACGTCAGCTTCCGATAATTTGGCGGCGAAACCGGAAATAACATGTCGGTAGCGGTACAATATTCTTGGCTTGTCAATAGTACTATTGGTCGAGGCAGCTGCTAAATTAGTATTCGTCGGCAAGAATGAATCGTAAAACGTTTCGAGATCGTTGGATATTTGTGCATGATCAACATGGACTATGTATACATCAAGATTTTCTGCTTTCAGAAATTGATTTAAATTGAGAATGCAAATGATACATAGAAATGAAGTGAACTCCATTAATGAAAATTGAAGAAATATTTTGATCGTTGTGAAGAAAAATGGAGATGGTGAAATGAGATTAGTTTATATATAGGCCCCCATTGGCAATGTTTTCAAATTAAATTGGACGGCCTTAGAAGGAAATAGAATTTCTAGGGTCAAACTTGAAAATTTATTTTCCTAATATGTAATTATATTATATATATATATATATACATATCCATAATTATATTTCCATTCATGAATTTCTTCCAATATATTAAGTTAAGTAGAATATATATTTTTTTGGTCAAACGTATGAATATTAATAACGATCTAATATCAATTCCAATTAATATATTATGTTGCAGGTTTTTTTTTCTTCTTTTTTTGCTATATCAATTTCTATTTTAAGAGGGTGTTTGGCTAAGCTTATAAGATGTTAAAAGGAGCTTATAAGATGTTTTAGAGCTTATAAGCTCTTCCAAAGTGTTTGGTAAATTTTTAGAAAAAGATCTTAATTTTTTTTAAAATAAGCTGTTAGAGAGCAAACAAGATCTTTTTAAATAAGTACCCCTACCCCACCTTTTTATTTAAGATCTTATAATAAATAAAAATAGGAAATAAGCACATTATCCAAACACTCTAAAAATTAATCATAAAAATAAGATGTAACAACTTATCAGCTCTTAAAACATCTTATCAGATATAAGAGCTTATCAGCTGTTTAAAATAAGTTTAGCCAAATACCCTCTAAAGCAGAATATTTGTTCTTTTTATATTAAGAGACGGTTTGATTAAGCTTGTTTAAAACATCTCCAAAAACAAATACAATTATTTATTGAGACTAAAATAAGAACGATTTTGGTTTCTTAATGAAATATTATGTGTGCACTCTGACTAACCATTACACATACATATGTTAAAATTGCTTAAATTGGTAAAGGGTGCAAATTTAGACAAGATGGTCTGTTTTAATAGGAAAATCGGATACCATAGGATGATTGAAACGTTGATAGTTTAACTAAAAATATAATTAGAATTTTAATAATTGGAAAAAAGAAAAGAAAAAAAAACCCCAACAGAACCCATAACCCCTCTAACCCTAGTCTAGTTATAATTAGTGTGATTTATTATGATTTAGGATTTAAGAGTGCCAAATGTCAAAAAATTAGTGGAATCCAATTTATATTAAAAATCGGCTGATCCGCTCATAATATGGTAAAATATGGTTAACGTTTTCGAAAAAAATGAAGTTAAGAATTGTGATTTGGTGGACGGGTCTGCAAAAGGAGTTTGCACGGGAGGAGGGGTAATTAGGTCGGATACATGAGCTTTTGTAGCGGGTTTTTCATCAACTTATGCGTTGGGCACCAACAATAGAGGTGAGCTTCTAGCTATGATCGAGGGGTTGAAGCTAGTTAGCTAGCTTAATATTACCCATATTCAAATCGAAAGTGACTCGTTAATGGTGATTAACTTGTTACGACATGGGCAGGGGCGCACATGGGCATTAGAATATTTCATCAAAGAGTGTAATGCGCTTATGAAAAAATCTTACACATAAACTCATGTATATCGACAAAAAAATTCAGTTGCAGATTGTTTAACTTCTTGCGCGCATTCTCATCAGTCGACCATGGAGTATTTGAAAAGGATCTTCCACGATCAATTTGGATTGCGTACAAATGTGATAGGCTTGGGAAATGGAATTATCGACCTTTGTGATTATGATATTTTTGCTGGAATTGGAACTCTGTTCATCGGGCTTCCGCTTCTCTCATCATGGAGAAGAAATAAGCGTTGGTGGTGTGGTACATTATATACTACTGTCTTAACCATTTTTTGGATCTTTGTGGAACAGTTGATAAGTTGTATGTCAGGCTAGATATTTTAGTTATTTCTTTTATAACCCATTTTTGGGGTTATTTTGTAATAGTTTGTAGTAGGATCTTAATTCCCGTTTTTATTCCTTTTCACTGGGGGTAATCTTTTCCTTGTAAAGGCCGACAAAAATTAACAAATATATGATTAAGGCACAAAATGTAATTTAACAATCTCCAGGAATTGAGATACAGTGGCTTGCAGAAAATGCAACATCGAAGCTTCAGAAACAACACCAACGTACAAGATTAAAAAAATTACCATTAAGATTAGGGAAACGCAGGTACAAAAAAAACCCTCCTTATTTTACCATGTTAGGGATAAGTCATAGGACATTATTTAATTTTTAGGTCCAAGTTTTTATTTACTATAAGAAAAAAATGGTAAAATTCCCTCAAAAATATTGTGTATAACTAACAGTCAACTTGAATATTTTGAATTTTGCTAAAAAACCTTCAGACATCTTAGTTGGACAACTTACCGAACATATACTAAAAATCGACATATTGATTGGAGATGTTAGACTAAAAATAGACATCCTAGATTGAAAATGCAGCTTAGTTTAATAATTATGACTATAACTAAATATCTTACACTAGAAGATAGACTGAAACCGATGAGAATAACTTTTTCTTGTGATGTGGTAGGCGGAAATTAGGCGAGATATATGTTGATCAACTAATCAGAGTGAAATGAGCTGGAAATCATGCCACGTAGGAATGCTGAGAAGGAGAAGTTTTAATGCAGGTGAAGGCATGAGAGGTGCATGTGATAACCAAACTTCAGTAATTGAGATCCGATTCAGAAATATTCCGAAATTTCGGAAAATCAGAATTTTTGGAAATCCGCTGAGAAAAAGGGAACAACAAGAAAAAACTTTAAAGACACCAAAAAATGACCAAGATCCGACAACAATTAATGGATAACCTCTTCTCATAGCAGTCAGAAACCAAAAATGAAAACCCAGTACAGAAGCAACAAAAATCTCTTCCCGTAGGAGAGATTCACTAGTAAAATTACCAAAAAAACAATTTCTATAAATTGTTGAGATACTGATAGAACTACTGTATTGATAAAGAGGGTAATTGGAAGAATTATCTAGGAACTAAACAACATATGTGGTAGAAGAACTGAACCAGTTTGGTTGGAGAAGAAGCAAAACGGCGCTGTGAGAAGGAAGAGAAGAACTAGGGCATTTGTGAAGGTGGGCGTATGACTTGTAATGAGCTAATATTATTGAATCGAAATTAATTATCTACCAAACAAATAACTTTTCAGTCCAACCAAAAGCAATGAATTAAGTCTTATATGAAAAATAAGTAATGTATATGTATAAAATAATTCTAAATATATATATAAAATTCGGAACAAATAGGATAAAAGCGGAATTACTGTCAGGAATTTCGGAATTATTTTCGGATCAGAATTCGAAAATATTGTGATCAAGATCGGCAGACTTAAAAAATTTCATCCTAATTTCCACCTCTACTCCAGGGCCGGTCCTAGGGTCTGGGAGGCCTAAGGCGAACACAATAAATGAGGCCCCCGTGATTTTTTTCCTTCGTATTTGTATTCAAAATATTGGGTCTTTTTGTCTTCCCTGGTGTGTGTATGGGTGGAAATCAAATGAATTTTGGACAAATTTCAAAAGAAAATTTGAAGTGAAAAACTAATCTAGATTCCGTTAAAGAAAAAAAAAATAATAAGAAGATTAAATAACCCAGGAATCGAGAATTCAAAATTTGGACTGGAAAAATTCATTTTAAAGTTGGAAAATTTTAGGTCGTAATCGGCAAGATTCAGAAAAAATATCCAATTATTAGTCACCTATCTTTTTTTTAAGATTTAAAATAAAATGGAAATTGGAATCTTATCTACCATTCCGGTAAAAACAAATTGGAAAAATTGGAAACAGAAATTTTTGGAATTTAGAATAAAAGATATTGTTCCAAAATCGACAAAATAGAGGACTTGAATATATAAATAAAATTATTGGATTAATTTTAATTTGTTTGGGCCTCTTTTTAAGAGAAAAAAATGGAAAATAAAAATATTGGTTTTGGGCCTCTTTTTCAACCCATTTAACTGAAAAGGGAGAGCTTAAATAGTTTGAAAATTGAGGACTAGAGAGCTCGAACACGGAACATTCACCAATTCAAAGGTAAGGAAAAACCAGTTAAGCTAAAGACAACTGTAATTTATTGTTTTACATATTAATTAACACCTTACCAAAAATTGGAGGCCCTAAAAAATTGATTTTTTCGGAGGCCCAAGGCGGTGGCCTTACCCGCCTTGGCCTTGGGCCGGGCCTGCCCTACTCATCCCACGTGACTCCTAACAACGAATGGTTTGAATCTCTTGAGTCTAACTCTAAAGGTGGAGTATTTTTAGGCAACAATTAAGCATGTAAAGTTTGCAGAATTGGTTCTGTGAGAATCAAACACTTTGATGGGGTTAAACTACTACGTCCAGAAGTGAGATTTAATCTATAAATAACAACTCTCCCCAAATTGTAAAACAGACCCACTGCCAAAAATAAATTAAATATATCATATCCCTCTTTAATTTTTAGGGGTTTTTGTACATAAGTCCCCAATCAAGCATCTTTATTATTCTAGGTTTAGGCGCTATATCTCTGTCACCAATAAGCTCATCCCTTTAATTTTTAGGGGCTCTTTGAGAAAACCCCATCACTATTTTTTTTAATTGAGAGAAGCCCAAAATATTTTAGTCTATTTGAGAAAAGTCCATACACATTTTCAGCCATTATGTTTTCCAGCCTCCTCCCGCCACCTCATCACTGGGTCAGCTCTCCGCGTTTTTTTTTTTTTTTTTTTTCATCGACTATGTAGCATAGTCGATTAGTCTAAATCGACTATGCTTCATAGTCGATTAAGGAAAATCTTTAATTTTTTAATTTTTTTTTTGTTTTTAATTTTGTTTTTAAATTTTTTTGGTTTTTTTAATTTTTTTTTTCTATCAGGTTTGTTAATGCATAATCGATTAAAATTTATCTATTAAAAATAACAAATCACAATTACAAAAAAAATGAAAAATCAATTATATTTAAAAAAAAATACAAACATTGTAATTGATTTATACATTGGAATCAATAAACAAAAAATCGAAAAAAAAATTAACAACTAGAGTCGGTTAACCTTAATCGACTACTGAACATAGTCGATTAAGCCTTAATCGACTATTGAACATAGTCGATTAAACCACGTAGTCGATTAAGGGCCCTGCCTGCGCGAATTTTTTTCTGCGCCGTCTTCCGCCACAATCCACCAAAAAATCCTAGATCTGTTCTTCATCGTCACAACG